ACAACAGTTTTGGTTCATTGAAGCCCGAAATTTAATTTGTAGTCAGAGAGTAAATACTACTGTAGTCTATAATGACAATAGCTTTTCTCTTTGGGTGACCGACAATTCCTCTAAAATTCATAATTACAGATGTCATTAGTAATAAAAGGTCTATGACGAAAAAAGTATACCCAGTMTTTTCCCTTAGCKCGTTCKTTTTCGTAGTGGTGTGATGTTTTCGGATAAAACGAGGATGAAACTTAKCAGAGAGGTAAAAAAGTCTAGTTTAAACTGAGTTTCATGACGTAATATATGAATTCCAAATATGGCAGGAAAAAAGAGARAAAATGAATAGGGTTAAAAGGAGTAATCATCAGAGGGAAAAGTTTTTTTTAAATTGTCATGGTAGTAAGGTTTCGGATAAAATAGAATCCCTTCGGCGAATCCATGTCACTTTTGCATGGGTCGACTCACTTTTCTCGAAGGATATAAACTTCCGACCTTCTGTTGCTAATACGCAAGGAGGTAGAATGATAATGATGACCTTGCTTATTAACTATACAAACACAAGAAGAATTAACGAATACGTATTTATTGCGTTATTAATGGATATATTATTATCATGCCATGATTTGATACGTATTTATTRCGGATACTGATCTTTGAAAGTATATTCAAAACTAGTATTAAACGAACGTATAGCAAAAAATATGTGCTAGGTGCTATCAACTGCTAATCCCATTGTGTCTATTTTTTAATGATCACTTTCTTGAATTAATTTATCGCGGCATTTYAATTACACGAYTCGAYCCTGACATAGACGCCATTTTCCGGRATGAGAGTTACTCCRGMAGTCATCTTCAAGGGCACTTCTGTTTCGGGACAGCGCATAAACTTGTACTTTGCCAGAATATCTGCCAATGTGATCTTGATTATCGAGAGAGCAAATCTCTTGCCAAGGCAGGTTCTCGAACCTCCTCCAAAAGGAAGGAAYTGGAATGGATGCCTTGATTCTTTGGCAGAACCTCGAAAACGCTCAGGATSAAACTTTTCTGGATCGGTCCACGCCGATGGATCATGATGCAGRGCGTATATTGGAATAATTACAGCCATGCCTGCAGGAATCGTTGTTGTATCGTTGATGTCGTAATTCCTGGTGCAMGATCTATCAGTTATGTGAATAGGTGGRCTCAGRCGCATCACTTCACTGATAACACATTCCAAGTACYCCAAGTCGTTGACTAGCTCGTGAAGTGGTTTTTCAGGGTTTACTTGKCGTGCTGAGACGATTTCAGACCTCAATCGCTCTTGGATGTCTGGATTGAGAGCCATATAATAAGCTGCCATACCAAGAGCGTTGCTTGATGTTTCATAACCAGCTAACAGAATCTCTATGGCTTGTCCTACCATTTCTTCRTCACTTAGCTTAAAAGTTCCATCAGAATTTTTGACGGAAAGCATGATGTCAAAAACGTCCCGAGGTTCTCCGACTAGCTCCTGATCTTTTCTTGTCTTCAAAATATTCCTTGTCACTTCAACGAAGAACTTGAAGTTATTCTGAAACATTAGGAAGACTYGAGCCCAAAGTTTCTTAAAAGGGAGCATCAGAGTGAGAAACATCTTGGCATCTTCTTTGAAAACTCCTTTCGCTTTGAGGTGGAGCTTATTACTTGGGCCCTCGGTCTGTACTGGAGACTCTATCCCGAATGAGGGAGAAAGAATCACCTCTAGCGTCATAAGACTAAACCAACTAAGTATTTCAACGTCTTTTCCTGCAATAACATAGCATGATTTGGTAATTGTTGAATTGTTTATATGTATACTGGACTGGTGATACTAGTCTCTATTACAAATTTTAATCAGATGAAAAATTGATAACCACATGGTGAATGACACCCCAAATGCTTTAGACGTCCGACTTTCATRAAGGGAAAAGGAGGAAGTTTTGTTTGTAAATGAAAAAAGGTTAAAATCAAACAAGTGCAGTTCTTTGCTGTTCACTCTTTTACATATCAAAGTGTTTTTTATCAGGAAAAAGGTTTTCAGTAGTGAACTTGGAGTTTCTGCGAAATGGGAAAACTTACCCAAGAAAGGACGGAAGAGCTATGGGAACACACCCTTGGAAATACATGAAACATGGATCTCGTCATTGTACAAATAAAAGATTTACCTGAATCGGCAATTCCCTTAAGTTTACCCATCAAAGTCTTTTTGGAACTTTCAATACCAGGAACTACCATTAGCGTAAGGTTTTCCTGAGTAGTGAACGTTGGACTTAAAACTGAGCGCACCTTTTTTCAGTCTTCGTCTTTTAGAAAAAATACACCTTTCCTCTCTTTAGCAAGAGGAAAATGAAGGTGGTGATTTGTAAATGTATGGCTGTCTTTGGTCATAATTTGCTTTATCAAATCTGGATCGGTTATCACAACTGCCACACTTCTCCCAATACAAAGACTGAATATATTCCCATACTTTTTCATGTACTCTAAAATGCATAGGTGAGAGGTGCCATGGCCATGCTTGGCAAARTCAAGAAGGTTTCCCAAGAACGGTAAAGGTKTTGCACCAGGAAYGTTWAGAGTGYTAAGAACCCTGAAGTTCCACACACCAACAAGGTAAACAAGCACAATCACAATCACCAGAAYAGTTGGTACAGCTAATAATRGACTATGCAGCAAAGCTGAAATGGATTCCATGTCCTGCAAAACGTGTTGGATTTATTATAAAATCTAAAATATTCAATTATATTAATACCATTTTTAGATTATCTTTTCTCCATAATCGAATTGCAGACAAACAAATGCACATTTTAATTTGGTTAGGGTTGTTGCTTGTTTTCGATCATTCCCATGAGATTCGAAAGACAAAAACCTGAAGAATGAACAAGAGATACTAACGAGAATTGTTTTTGTTGAAGTTCAATCAAGAAGGCCGCTGTGACAGCCAGTTGGCATAGCGCTTTGATCTTGACACTGTGATACAGGAACATGAATTAAATTTGCCACATAGATTGCTTATATCCCGCTCTTCAATATAAGAAGGRGTGCCCAAGTCAAGCGTGTCAGGGGTCTGGTAGGGGAGTTTTAACCTATGATTCAACACAGATTTTGTGATGGCCACCTGTTACGTAATGTATTTTGCATRACGTTCCTTGTATATAGTCTTGAGTTCATTAGATATGAGAACACATAACAACGAAACAATGTTTACAAAGTGGATTTGTTTGGGTTTTTTTTTCAGCCAAAAGGTGCTGCTTATTTCCGACTAAAACGAGTCAAGCGCAACCCACTTTCAAAAGAAAACATTATTCTAGACATTTCAAATAAACCCTTTTAGCGATTTTGTTTACGCTGTGTTAGCCTCAAAACCATGTAATAACTTTAACAGCCCGTGCAAATGCAAGGGATCCGCTGTGAATATAGAAGACAATGGAAATAGTTTGAAATCTCACGAGTTTTATCTATATTCCTGAATATTTTAGCACTCAATTGAGGCTAACACAGCGTAAAAGAGATTGCGAAACTCAAATATTGTCAAACTGTATAATACATAATATATACATACTCTATCCTAGATCTAAAAGCCGTGAGGAAGGCTAAGAGATCGAGACTATTTGTTGTATATCTCTGATTAATGCGAAAACGTATTAATTTTATTGAGCTGACACGTCACTGTCTGTGAAGACCAACATTAAGTCTCAAGATATTYATTTGTTAGTTGGAAATCCATGAAAATATAGTGCTTTTTCTATCATCAATCAAAGCTTGTCCTAGTGAGTCCTGTCTTCAATGAGCTTTTCTTATATATGTGTCTAGCTACATCCCTCGTAGAAACTGTACATTTATGAGCATCAATAACTAAGATGGTACAAAGTCCAACAAATGACATAATGGAAGACTATCACGAGAGGAATAAGCAGCCATTAGTACTAACTTTTTAGTTATCTATTTCGCAGAGATATGATTTTCACAAATTCATAAACATCTGTCTAGTAGTTTCTTACCCTTTCATTTGAACAAGCGAAAGACGTAGATGCTTTATTTAATTCGTCGAGCTATACCTGTTGTTTTGACTGAATCGATATAAAATGATYTTAATTTATGTTAGAGCTAATTTATTCTAATTCATGCAGTGCGCAATAATGTCGACGAAATGGCAAGAAATATCACTTTTTAGGCACTTAATTRACTTTGATTTTGCGATTAATGAACATTTATCTCATTTATAAAATTATTAAGTCGGCATCATAATTATGATGATCTATGTTTTACGCATACATTTATTTTTATTTATTATCATGCAGATTTTGCCCGGRGGCCGGGTTACCTAACAGAGCATAGATCCACCAAAGGACCCTTAAAGGGACACTGTCAATGGCACGCATGCGCGAGTAAACTTGAAAACACTAGGGTAGTGTTTTCAAGTTTATGACTCCAAGTTGGCGCGACATAAATCAGATCGTAAACGTAAACAGATCTAGAATATTCCAAAGTGTGTCAAAAGCACCACAAAATGATTTACCTCGAAGGTTATGCTTTGAAAGTCCGTTAGAGGTGAGACTTTTACTGCGCATGTCATCCATTGGCAGTGTCCCTTTAAGATGCATTAGAAGACAATTAGTAGAAATTTTCAAAAAAAAGTCATCAGTGTCTACCCCTGTACACTATGTTAACATGTGATGACGTAGGGAAAAAAGTTTAAGATATTTATATTGTCTCCAGTCCGAAGTCTTATGATCAACTTATGTTTCTCTCTTTCATGGACGTTTGATCGCAACAACTTTCATGTTAAACGGTACGTAGTTGTTATAAAGTTAAGGAAAACGAAATATTTTGTTGYAAATAAATGTCCCGATCCAAGATGGAGACCACGTTTTCCAGCCATAGCAAAATTGCTATGGGTTTCCCTTTTTAAAATAATGGGCGCCTTTTAAAATAAGACTATTTCAGAAAACATTTAATACTAAAGATAATGTATTCCAAGACCAAAATGCATTACAATTGTTGCTCGCTTTTTCGCCCTTTATGATGTCAGAGTAAATAAATCAGCTTTCTCTCTCCACAGACAAGCATTTGAGTTTAGAATTATCATTGTGTAATGCAGCTAACGTGAAGTCAAATAAGCAGCAATGCATTTCGGTCTTGGGATGCACCAAGCAGTATTCTACATTTACAGAAATAGCTGCGCATAGCTGAATCTCAAGTACACGACTCGACTCTAACAAAGACGCCATTTTCTGGCATGAGAGTAAAACCGGCGACCATCTTGAGCGGCACTTCTGTTTCAGGACAACGCACGAACTTATACTTGGTCAGAATTTCTACCAAAGTGATCTTGATTTCCAANGTTGTTATAAAGTTAGGGAAAACGAAATATTTTGTTGTAAATAAATGTCCCGATCCAAGATGGAGACCACGTTTTCCAACCATAGCAAAATTTCTATGGGTTTCCCTTTTTAAAATAATTGGCGCCTTTTAAAATAAGACTGTTTCAGAAAACATTTAACACTAAAGATAATATATTCCAAGACCAAAATGCATTACAATTGTTGCTCGCTTTTTCGCCGTTTATGATGTAAATAAATCAGCTTTCTCTCTCCACAGACAAGCATTTGAGTTTAGAATTATCATTGTGTAATGCAGCTAACGTGAAGTCAAATAAGCAACAATTCATTTCGGTCTTGGGATGCACCATGTATCATTCAACGTTTACAGAAATAGCTGCGCATAGCTGAATCTCAAGTACACGACTCGACTCTAACAAAGACGCCATTTTCTGGCATGAGAGTAAAACCGGCGACCATCTTGAGCGGCACTTCTGTTTCAGGACAACGCACGAACTTATACTTGGTCAGAATTTCTACCAAAGTGATCTTGATTTCCAAKATAGCAAATCTCTTGCCAATGCAGACTCGTGGCCCTTCTCCAAAAGGAAGGAATTGAAATGGATGTCTCGATAGTTTGGCAGAACCTCGAAAACGCTCAGGATCAAACTTCTCTGGTTCGGTCCACGCCGATGGATCATGGTGCAGAGCGTATATTGGAATAATTACAGCCATACCTGCTGGAATTGTTGATGTCTCGTTGAGTTTGTAATCTTTATTGCAAGATCTATCGGTTGCAAAAGCAGGTGGGCTCATGCGCAGCACTTCGCAAAGGACACATTCCAAGTACTCCAAATCATTGACTAGTTCGTAAAGTGGCTTATCAGGGTTTGCTTTTCGTGCTGTAAGGATTTCCGACCTCAAACGWTCTTGGATATCTTGATTTAGAGCCAAAAAGTAGGCAGACATGGTCAAAGCATTGCTTGATGTTTCATGACCAGCGAGCAGGAATGCTATCGATTGTCCAACCATTTCATCTTCWGTCAGTTTAAGAGTTCCATTAGGGTTTTTGGCYGAAAGCATGATGTCCAATATATCTTTAGTTCCGCGAATTCCTTCTTCTTTCCTGATCTTCAAGATATTTCGAGCCACTTCTGCGAAAAACTTAAAATGACTCTCAAATGTTAAGAAGATTCGACCMCAAAGCTTAGTCAAAGGGAGCATAAGCATGTAAACCATCGCGGCAGGCTGTTTGAAAACCTCTTTCGACTTAATCAGGAACTTATTGGAAGTACCCTCGGTCTGGACTGGAGACTCAACTCCGAAAGAGGTGGAGAGAATCATCTCTAGCGTCATRAGACTGAACCAAGAATACATATCGATGCTTTTTCCTGAAACACAACCGGTCACATAAGAGTGAGTAACCGCGAATCTCTGTYCATCTTCCTAAAACTGAACCCAACAGGGATAAGTACAAATCCGTTTATAATGATGTTCGTCAGTATTTTTTACTGATACCGCTGTTTTTGTTTGTTTGTTGTTGTTTTTTTGACAGCAGATTCTTTAACGCAAGGACATTGCCAAACACAAAAGAAAGCACGAGAAAATGTTGTAAGTACAATAGCGCTAGCAATCTATACTTTCCCGAGTTGAGGCTACCCCTGTATTCCCAACTGGCTTAAACGTTATAAGACCTTCTGGGAATACAGGGTTATTTTAGTCTCAACTCGTGTGGACAATGCAAATCTTCAAGACTCTTTTCAAGCTCTCTGTTGAGTGAGTTTGGTAAGATGTTTGCGCAAGAAAATCTGCTGTCAAATAAAGAAGCGGTTTTTCGCATTTCGAAAATTSARTATTTTTCCCGCACGCATCTCCTGTAAGCAACATGCATGTTCCTTTATTACGTTTAAGGCCCAGTTCATACGTCGTGTTATCGTCGCGCATGCCAAATAGACAAAACTCCGTTTTACAGTTCTCGTCGCTATCATGACTAGTAAGGTAACTTAGGCTTCGCATCAAAGTAAGACAGCAGTTGAGCTTGCATTGATAGATAACTGTAAATAGTTGTCTTAGGAAAAGCTCTCACTGTTCGCTCACACTGGAAAAAATCGTGCACTTTAAAGGTTGTAAAGTTGATGGAAATATGTTGTCAGTGCCTAAAATGATGGAAATTTGATGGAAATGACTTACATCAAATTTACATCATTTTGGACACTTACATCATAAATACATCAAATTTACAACCTTTAAAGCGCGTGATTTTTTCCAGTATCAACTCCTGTCGCTTTGATGCAAAGGCTTGGTTAGCTTCCGAGATGGTGCTTGGAACTGCGAAAAATAGAGTATTTGGATTCAAATACCATCTGTACGGCGTTGATTCAGACGTCGATCGAAAAGGTCCGACTGTTATCCAATATGTTATCGGGTAACACGCAATTGCAGTAACTATATCACGTTTAATCAGCGTCGATTTTTTTGCAGCAGCGCTCAACTAGTGCTGCCGCGCCACTGCCGTGCCACAAACATTGGCGTGCCGAAATTTAAATATTGATCGCTTCAAGGTGGCAGTTTTTCGTTAATATCCCGAGGCATAATCATGGGAAGGATTGGAGATCCTATATAGACCCTCAACAAGCTCGGAGATATCAGCAGCAATCTTGTTACTGTATCAGCAATTCCCTGCAGTTTACTCATCAAAGTCTCATTTGACCTCTCAATAGCCGGGACCATAAGCTTAAGTTTTCCAGTAGTGAACGTTGGGCTTAAAACTGACCGCACTCTTTTCCAGTCTTCGTCTTTTAGAAAAAACATGCCCTTTCTCTCTTTAGCAATTGGAAAGTGCTGATGGTGATTTGTAAACAAATGGCTGTCTTTGGTCATGATCTGCTTGATTAAGTCTGGATCAGCTATCACAACATTGACCTTTCTCCCAAAACAAAGACTGAATATTTTCCCATATCTCTCCATGTA